TTTGAGACCATTCTGCACAGAGATGATCATGAACAAAATCTCGTCAATAGTATTTTGCCTCACAACACAATTAACCGTTTAACTCTCAGGACTAACCAGAGGGAATTTCTCCTTACAATATCAATACAATATCAGACAGACAAATGGCAAGAATAAAGAAAAATATCAATAATAGAGGATTATCAGTTGATCCAATATCAAATTCTCAGAACTAACATCACAAGAATGGTGTGGCAGACAGTAAGGAGAATTACTTATGAGGTCTTAGGAATGGAAAGGTTAAAAGAAACGGTTTTAACTCTTTAACTCCCAGAAGTGACTTACTCATAAATTTTCTTTATAATATCCATAAATTATCCAGCCAAAAGGTAATGAGAATACCCAGACTTATCAAGATGAAGTTGTTATCTTAATCTAACACAAAATTCTCATAACTTTTAAAAAGTTAGAGGGGAGAATTAACAATCAGATCTTGGGAGTTAAAAGGTTAACCCCTTTGTTTTATCTGTTTACTCTTCTATTGATCACTGATAGCTTCTACTAAACGAGACATTCACATGAAGTTGGTAGCATAATAATGAGTCACTCCAAAGAAAAAGCGGCACTGAAGTAAAGTTTTGCTGACAATAAGATTGTCAAAGCCTAACCTGGGGTCCGCGCATGGCATGATGTTCAGCCTCTGTAGGCAGACGGTAGTCTGAACCCTTCCAGGCACAGAAAGCTTTTGCTTCATGGTAGTTCACTTCTGCAGGCCAGTCCATGGGCATTTCCATCACCTCAAACATTGCACGGTACCTGTTTGTTCAAGCAAAAAGATATGAGAGGAGAAAGAACATGTAAAACACCACTTAAGGGGGGAGTGGTCAAATTTAATTGGGAGGCTTAGGTTAGGAAGTTACAGTACATACACCTAAATCATGAACAAAATAAACTTCATGCAGTTACCTCCAGGTATTTAGTCAATAAACACAATGTGATTACTGCAATGAGTGTTGGGGTACAACAAGCATCCTTATCGTGTGACAAAACAAATGGCATCTCTGTTTAACCCCTGAACCAGTTCTTAAGAGTCAGAGACACTAACTATTTCCAGATATAAACCTCGTTGACTCACTTGTAAGGACACTCCATCTCCTCTGAGTCACTATTTACATGATGATCACCATTTAAGACACCATTGGCAAACCCATTAACAGCACCATTGGCAACTCCATTGGCAACTCCATTAGCAACTCCATTGGCAACTCCATTGGCAACTCCATTGGCAACACCATTGGCAACACCATTATAATGCCCATTCATGTTATGATTGACGTCACTTTCTTCCTTACAGTGAGAGTAAGTTGCTAAGTCTCCACCACAACCAGATTTGCACTTTTTTCCACAAACCCAAAAAGTAGGATGACGCATTTTGCGGAACAGTTTCCAATTCCAGCCTATAACACAATGAGAAATTCACTGAACTCTCCACCTGTCTCCTGAGGAGAGTCTTAGTTATGAAAAAGATTTGAAAGTTACAGTGAAGCATAGTGATTTGTTTTCTTCACTACCAGTAAGTTCACCATGATGAACAAGTGCATGCAACCTCTTTTCACAATATTAACCCTTTACATCCTAACAAAAATATGTTTGTTCTCCATACTGTTTTATATATATTTTGTATAAAGTACAACAAAAAAAAAACTAGAAGAATTCTTTAGTTGGTGATCATTTCCATTACTCAATGTAACCATAATTGTTTACACCCTAACATCAGTATACATATTCTTCATAATGTTCTCTGTCAATTTCCTAAAGTAGATGAAAAGGAGAGTTTGTGTAACAATCACTGAAGAGCCTCTTTAGTTGGTGATCATTTCCTTTATTCTCATAAACCTTAAAGTGTGATTCAGGGAAGATACTGTAAGGAGAAATTAGAAACTGGTCACTCTTAGTGATTAGAGGGTTATTGTTTGCCCCAGCAGTGATATTGTGGGGAGAGATCAGATGCTCGTCACTCTCAGGGGTTATGGATTAAAATTTGACAGATGTGGCAAAAATTAAAACATGAACAATCATTGATAAAAACAGCACAAATTTTGTGCATCAAACCACACACAAAAAAGTATGTTTTAAATCTACATCAGTAGTTCTAGCTAGGATACTTCATTATGACACATTTGTTCCCTCCATTTTGGGGTGGATTCAACTGTTTTATGCCTTTTAACCTAACAACAAATTCACCTGGAAATCAAGCTTATTATCATGGAAATCAAAGAGTACATTTGAACAAAGCCTTGATTAAAGACAGCTAGTATGCAATTCCAACCTTCATCAGTCCAGTACTTGGAGTCTTCATAACCTCCATCATTGACAAAATCCAAATACTCCCGATTGGTGATCAGATATTTGGAAGCTCTGAAAGGCGGAACCCTAAGGAAAGATTGACAGGTGTTAGATGGCTTCATCAAAAAAATGTTCAGAAATTAAAAATATTAATTACTCTGCCATTAATGAAACTGACAAGACATAAACACACAATTATCATTGACAACAAACTTAAAGAATGATGAAGAGTTCAAATTAAATATTACATTTATTAGGTACCCTATAGCTAAGTTAATTTAGCAAAAAAAAATACTACTAATATCAATTAAGTTTTATGTTACTCTTCATACAAGAAGAGATTTTTTTAGATAATTCCTCAATAAAATTCCCTTGAATTTTATATATTCTATTTCATTTCCAATCAATCTTAAAAAGCCACCAAATAATAAGATACATGTAGTAATTTAAAATACACATTATTAAAGGATGTAAAATACTAACGTCCAAGTATTTAATATCACAGCAGTTGACCAATGTTAACTGACACCATTGAAAAAAATAAAGTTATTACAAACAACATTCGTAACATTCAATTATTAATTGGCTGGCAGTTTTTCTATTAACAACAGCAAAAAATATTTAATAATAAAAGTAAATACAATCTGACTTATGGACTCAGACATCCTAAAATAAGTAACATAATCAAATATGTTTCATAAAAAACACAAAAAGCATCACTCACCTTTTTCTTTTTTAAAATTAATATTAAATAAATATTTAGCTACAGAAACATTTTACTCATAATTTTAACTGACATTAACATAAACTGCTATGTAATTATGAATTGAATATAACTTTTTAAACAAATGGTACTTTTTGATCTTATTTTTTAAAAAATAGTTTCTTATAGAAAGTGCAAAATTATGAATGATCACTTAATTGGACTCATTTTCAAGTTGCTTACTTTGATAATACTCAGGCTTCAAAATTTTCATTACATTTGTTAATAGTAATATAATTATTTAACTTCTTAGCAACACAATAAATTAAAAAGCAGTTTACTGGCCCTGACTTAATTAATCATACATTGTAATTATACAAATAAAAAGTACATGTATAACTAAACATTAAATTATTTAACATGTGCAAATAATAAATATATTTGCTGCAGCTTAATGAATCTTGACACACACATTATGTTTCCCATGACAACAAACAAACAAACAATGGACAGAAACAACAAAAGTACAACAAGGGATTATGAAACAACATCTGACAAGCACTGTTGAACAAAGATTAAAACTTGTCCACAGCTGAAAGGACATAATCATTTAATTTTTACAATTAAGTCTGACAGTTTCTGCCAACTGCGGTTTAAGATTAAATATGATGAGTAACTTTCACCATTCACAGATTTTTGCTGGTATGAAAACTTGAAGGCAGTCACCTGTTTGATCATGTGGTGTGATTGTCAAAGTGTTGAGAGAAGTCCTGAGATAGAATGTTGTCCGTAGCAAGGACTGATGTTGGTCCTCATCAAAATCAAGTGAGGAATTAATTTTGTCTGTACAGATCGATGTCAGTTGAGTAATTTCAGTCTGGTTTGTGAGTCTGGTTGTCTGAGTAAAAAAGTCTGGAAATGGACTGTTATCCATAGCAAAGACTGATGTTAGTAATGATTAAACTTAGGTTATAAAGCAGAATGCAGTCTGTCAGTTGGAGATTTTCAGTGTGGTTCATGATCATGAAAACTGATTGGTCAGAGAGAACTGATCGGTCAGTTTTTCCACACTTTTCTGATAGTGAAATACAGGTGGAAAGGTCACTCTTTGATTCTCATATTGATCATGCACCGTTTCTCACACAGACCCTGGTAACTCACTTGACATTCCATTCGCCATATTCGTTGTCCCAGCCATATGATGGAAAGTTTTCTGGTTTGCCCATGCTCACAGCCTGCTCTGTTATTTCAATCAGTGGATTGGACGACACAGGATCGCCTGATAGTTGGTATCATATATGATTTTACAAAAAGCACTATTTCTGATATCTGCACACACCGGAAATGTGGAATTCCCTCGGGAGAGACGATAGAGCTCAAGATCCTCTTAGGAAATGAAACCCACAAATCTTTTCCTCTTCAATTTTCAAATTCTTGCCAGGTTTTCAGAACAAAAATTAGAAAGAGACATGGGGAGGTTCAGGATATTAAGAACCCACCACAAAATCCAATGAAACAGGTTAGGGATGGACATAAGTTATCCCCGACAACAAATCACCTCTGAGTCACTCAACCATTCCTCTCAGCTTTCCTCTCAGTATAGTACTTGTTATTACCCCCCTCTCCCCTCCCTTCCCTCCCAATCAACTCCTCCCACCCTTCCCCTCTAGTTTCTGCTATCTCATACATTCCACTCTTCCATATAAATTTTTTCTCACTTCAAATCCCACTTTTTCTGCAAACTGTTCCTTCAACTCAACCCACTTCACATGCAGTCAATTTTGTGGTAATTATTTTCCCCCATACCCAAATTTTGAAGAAAACCTGGCAAGAATCACAAGTGTCTTGTACTTTCTGTGTTTCGGACCAATCATAAAATTTGGGTGCATTTAACAAGCAGCTTTTTGGTATGCAATCCAGTAAGAAAAACATTCAGAGTTTCTTTAAATATCCAGGTACTGTGGCAAATGGAAGAAACAGTCACATGACTGTGAAAAAAATTTGAAGCAACAGCCAGTCGTCACTTCTTTTGGAAATAGGTTTTAGAAAAAGGAATGTAAATGTGCAATGTATTTTTCTGTAACAGGCATATCTTTTTATTACAGTAACACGGTACTATGACAGCAATATTTTAATTTATACAATTTGTGTTGCACTCAAAATAATTCAGGGCCAATTGAATTTGAGATTAACTTGTATCAAAAGGTGAACATTCTTGTTTGCTCTCATTGTTACATGTAAGTTTAAGTCTGCATTTGAAATTAGTCAGTCTGCTTTCAATGTCTTAACAAACAGATGTTTTTTTATATTACCAATTTCTCTGAGTGTTGATTTTCAATTTTTTTTGAAATCCAAACAGATAAAAGTACCTTTTAAATTATTTTCTTACAGACACTTTTGGTGCATTTTGCATAATCCTCAGAGATTGATTGAAGATGAGGAGATTAAATAACTTCTGTGAGTGTGGAGCTAAAAGCTCTTTTTTCTTCAGTTATGTGTTTGTAAGTTATAATTGTGTGCTTGGGAAACATTTTACATTTGATGAGAATGTTTGAATCATTCCACCACTGTGGGACAGTGGTACATCACGAAGGATGGACTTCACTCTGTGAGACAGCCAACTGGTAGAAGAGATATAACAAGTGTTCTGTTCCAGCTATGCATGGGCACAAATCTGTAGGCACCTTCTTATGAGACCAAATTCCAGGACAACAGAAGCCTTAGGGTGAGGCCATTTTCATGGGAACCAGAGATGAACACATTTTAGGACCCAAAGGGGTGCAGTTCTGATATAAAAGGGGCCCTTACCTTGCCCCCACCACTGACCAATAGAGTTTAATATTGATAGGAACACCTTGTAGGTTTAATTATTATCCAACTGCACTATGAGTAGAGTACAAATAACCTTCAATATTTTGACAGTTGTTCTTTTTTGTACTGTAAAAAAGACCTGTTTAACCACTCGACTGTTCCCACTTTTTAAAAAAAGTGCATCAAAAGCAGTTGGATAACAAATAACTTATCAGATGTTTTGGTGTGTAATATCACACAGTATTTTTTTACTCATTGTTTGTATTTTGATTTTACAAAAACTGTTCTTTAGTATATTCTGCTACTAAGTTTTAAGCTAGTTTTAAACTAATTACGCAACTCAGACTAGCAAAGAAAACTTTATCTAACTCTCTCATAGCAACCATGCAAATTAACTACCTGGCTAACAAAAACTATCCCATAATATTTTTCTCCCACAACATGTTATCTACCTTTCCAATAATTATAAAGTTAGCAAGACTATTGCCTCAAAGAATTTCACAATTATCAGTACAAGCTGTGAGTTTTACCTGTGTTCAATGGTCCATTTTTCCATCCCTTAGGTTTTTTGACAAGTTCCAGTGGCATCTGACGAATCAAAACTGATGAGGTCTCAAAGTGGATCCTTGCACAAAGCAACAAAAATGTGTTGATTGTTAATACTACATGTATTACTTGGCAACCAAAACTCAGTGAATTCAGTGAAGAAACGAATTTAAGATATCCTCGCAGCTATGAACACTACTGAACTAGTAATTGAAAATAGGACCTGAAAAAAATTCAGGCCTGTACAGGATTTGAACCCATGACCTCTGTGATACCAGTGCAGCACTCTACCGACTGAGCTAACGAGCCAACTGGGATCTGGTACCGGCTCCCAGTTGGCTTGTTAGCTCAGTTGGTAGAGCACTGCACCAGTATCGTAGAGGTCATGGATTCAAATCCTGTACAGGCCTGAATTTTTTTCAGGTCCTATTTTCAACCACTAGTTCAGTACAGGGCATGAAATTAACTTTTTTTTCTGATAGCCACTTGGCTCCTAAATTCTTCAAAGTGGTAGCCAATTCAAAAAAAGTTGGCCGCCATTTTCAAAGACAAACAAAATCTTTCTTTAAGCTGTCAGCGTTCTAGATAGACCCTCCAAAATTAAGTTAGGGAAAAGATCGAGGAAGTTTGCCGCGGATTTATCTTTGCAAATCTTTTTTCACTATATCTCTTGGTAAGGTTATGATGAAACATTTTAGTCGCCAATTTGGCGACTAACTTTCAGGATTTGGTCGCCAAAGTGAAAAATTTAGTCGCATTGGCGCCTGTATTGGGCACAATTTCACGCCCTGCAGTCGTGTCCTTACCCTTGAGGATCTCTTAAAAATCCATGTATTATCAAAATACATGCAAGTAACTTCATGTACATAATATTATGTGTAAAAAATTATTTCTTTATTCCCCAAAAGTGATCAAATTTAAAGTAATTTTCTAAATTGTCTGAATTTAAAGCATTATGCAGTGCATTAATTGTCAACTGAATGTGCAGGTGATAAGAATTAAATTACTATAAGATAATATCAACTGGAATTTTAACATGATTTTACTGAAAGTGAAAGGGTTACAAGGCACTGTGGAGGTCTAAACTTTTTATTCTACTGTCAGTTCATTGAACAGAGGTTATCCAATTGTATTTTAGATCTTGCCTAGCTGCTTACTTAAATACCTCATTTGAAATGAAGCCTGTAGAATATACAATAAAATTATCTTGCAAAGATTTCACATGTTATACCCGTAGATTAAACAAATTGTAAAATCAAAGCAATTTAAATGCTACAAAAATTACATCTTTATAACCTTTAACGTCATACCTTTCATGTTCAAATCCCATGAAAACCGCCCACTAAAATAAAGATAAGCCCGTACCATTAGGCTTGGATACAACAAAAACAATACTATACTTAACACATTCCACTACCTCTCTCTAACAAGAGCAGAATCATCAACTCACAATCTTTTAATCATACCAAAATTAATAAATTCAAAGGTGTGAAAAAAATTAGGCCTCGCAATCCCAGGTGTGATCAATATAATTCTTAAAATGGTAGGCAGAAAGGTGATAAGGAGAAAAAGGTGTTGTCTGACCAAGGATTTGATCAGATACCAAATTCTCAGAGCTAAAATGGGAACACAGTGAGGAGAATCTACATCACTGCATATAGGTAAAATTTTGATCAGCAAACTTCACATATAAATTGCAAAGCAACCAATATGAATATCCAAAAATCCCCTCACAATTATGAAGACCAACCACTCAGGATTGAAACTGTCAATGCAGAGGTTTTATTTGTGCAGTCACACAGATTTGATATGCGCTTAATTTGCTCAAAGAAACAATATTGTATATTTCAAGTTGAGGCACCCCATTCCTTTCCAATAACATCAAAGCTTAAACAAAAGAATTTTTGCTGAGTAGTGAATTTCATAACCTTTCCAATGATATATAGTTTATGGTGGTTATGCATCAAATAGCACATTAAATTTTTTTTTTTGCTAAGGACACCCACAAAGGTCTACCATTTCCTTAAAACAAGACCCCGATGGTTTTACCCATTGGCTGTCCTGAGTAACGGGCAGTTCCAGCGGTGTGTTCTCAATGACATCCAACATGACTTGGCGTGTTTTCCTGCGGAATTCTGCCACTTCAACAACTGTTGGCCATTTAAAGCTGCCTCCCATCCTGTAGTTCTCCTAAAAGAAATGCAACCATCTCTCATTGTGGTTTTCACATTTACCCTTTGATCCTTAACCCTTTCACTCCCAAGATCTAATTAGTAATTCTCCTTACTATCTGCCATACAATTCTTATGATGTTAGTTCAGAGAATTTGGTATTGGATCAACTTATAATCCCACGATTGATATTCTTCTCTATTCTCATCACCTGCCTGCTTGATATTGTATTGATATTGTAAGGAGAAATTCTGTCTTGGTCACTTGTGGGAGTGAAAGGGTTGAGTGTGACTTGCATCTAATTTCTCCTTAGAAAATCACCCCTAATCAAGCATTTGAGACTACACGAATAAAGGGAATGTCATCATCAACTTGTTATAGTAAATCAAATCCTTCTTGTCAGCACTTAAGGAAATGTATAGAGAACAGTATGGAGAATATGCATACTGATGTTGGGGTGAACTAGTGAGACTCTGTAACCCCTAAGGGTGACTAGCATCCAATTTCTCCCTTCTATATCACCCCTGGCTCAAATATTGAGGTTATCAGAACAAAGGAAATAGGAAAATCTGTAATTTAATTGCCAAATGGAAATCTGTAATTTTGCAAATTGGAAATTCATGTATATACTAGGCAACATCCAAGCTGTCGATGTATAGCCAAAAGTTATTGTGAAACAATAAATCAAAAATTTTTTAATCACCGTGTCATCCCATGACATTTCATCTACACCTGTCTCAAAGAGTGTCTCAAGGAAAAAATTCACCCTCTCCTGAAATAAAAAAAAAACCTATGTGAGATAAATAATCCAGTCAAGTACAAACCTATCCAACTCAGATGCAAGGACTTCAACCAATTCTCCTCTCCACTGTCCCCTTATTAAAGATTAACTCTTTACCTCTCCCCTCAGGCTGCTATACATTTCCTTGTAAATTAGTAAGGAGAATTTAGTGTTAGATCAAGATGACAACTTCTACCTGATAAGTATTCTCATTACTTAGAGATTAACCCCTTAACTCTCCCCTAAGGCTGCCACATATTTGCTTGTAAATTAGTAATGAGAATTTAGTATTAGATCAAAGTGACAACTTCTACCTGATAGGTATTCTCATAACTCTACATAAAGTGATGGAACAAGTGGATCACTTCGAGGAGTTTTTTAAAAAAAAAAAGTTACAAGTAAATGCCTGGTTGCATATATAGTTTGGTCAAAGCAGCTAGGTCAGAATAAACTGCAATTAGAAATATGGTTCTCCCCACACTCCCAAACCTGAAATTTATTTCTTGGTCTCTAAAAAATTATTCTATTCTGTTACTATAGATAACATTCAACTTGAATATCATGTAAGATGCATACCTTCAGAAGGCCTGAAAGAACAAGTTTATTGATATAAACAGCTGCTGTATGGCCAAAGTAAAATATCAAAGGAAGACGCAGACGATCTGGGCATTTGTAAAATGCTGACTCATCTAAAACAGAATTAAAAAAAATAACGTTAAATTCCCATGGCAGTGTCACCTGGACAGAAACAGTGTTCATGCATATGCTGCTTGCTAGTTTGGTACAAATATTATTAACAACTATATCTTATCTTAAAATTTCCATTTGACATTACAGATTGGAGATATCTCCACCTATTGCACAGAGTTATTCCGCTAAATATTTTATCTTTTAAGCAATCTTTTTAACCAGTAATGGCTAATATTCCTTGGTTTTTAAATTCTGTTCATTATAAAGGGGTAAGTTTCTAAAGAAACTGTGGTGCTGTGTCAGTGAGAGAGTATAGCAGGTAATTTAGTGTTTACAACTGAGTTGAAAACATTAATTAGCCACCCTAAAGGTTAAAAAAGCTGACGTTTCAAGCATTAGCCAAAACGAAACATCAGCTTTTTAACCCTTTACGGTGGCTACTTTACGTTTTCAACTCAGTTGTTAACACTAAATTACCTGCTCTGTTCATTATAGGCTTCAGGCTCAATATTTTACAGTAGCCATTTGGTGAACTAACATCACAAAACGGTTGCCAGAAGTTTCTGGAACATCACATGAAATACAAAACTTCATCATGACACTTGTCTTTAGATTAAGAAGTATGGCCGCCATTGTTAGAGATTCATTCCACTTCTCAAGGCTTATTACTTAGGCAATCAAGCGGCCATAAGAAGATATTTTAACCCAAGAAAACAACAGAGCATGAGTAATATTCAGCTTCAGACCAAGAAAAATAGGCTATAGACTTTTGCAACTAGTTACATCAGACAGCCCAACACAGGTAAGCAAATTGACAACTTACCCCACAAATTTAAATGCTTAAATTTATGGAAATCATGGCAACCACATTTTATAAGATAACTATCTTTCTGCTCTGATTAAAGTCTATATCATATATAAGAAAAAATAATATCTTTGGCAATGCCTTTTGTAAAGTACTTGAAAAAGCACAAACAAGTAAAGTCTTTTTATCATTTCAGATAAGTGGTAAAATCAGTGAAGCAGAAGAGACAGTAAAACACAAAATTGCAGAGAGAAGATTTTTTTAATTTGCATTTTATTAAACATTCAGATTGTCAGTCATCACACCAGGAGGCAATTAGTGGCACCGGAAAAAAAGACATTTGAACAGGTTAACATCAATCAATCATCAAACCAGTGAAGCAGAAAAGACAAAACACAAAATTGCAGAGAGAAGATCTTTTTAAATCTGCATTTTAATAAATATTTAGACTCAGTCATCACACCAGGAGGCAAATAGTGGCACCGGAAAGAAAAACATTTGAACAGTTTAACATCAAAGGTGTCTAAATATACCACAAAACGAACACGCTACGTCTGATGGCTTCCTTGAAGTGTCATATTCAAAATTAACATGCAGTGGAAGGATGCATTTAAGAAAAGGTGCCTCAAGGGAAATAATCTCAGAGCTGTTTTAAAGTATCTGGAGCCTCTAAAGGAAAATTAACCCTTCAAAAAAGTCTCCTGAGATTTATATTCTCTCTTAAAAATAAAAGTCGCACTACTGAATGGTGACAAAATCATTTAACATGTGTATTATACATCTATTTTTATATTTTTTTGTTTATGTTAATCGCGGCCAAGAGATATCACTGAATCACATCTCTCACACTTGATATATTTTGACGTTCTGTCCACAAGAAAGTTATCTTGAGTTAGCTCATGAAGAGCAAAAAAGTCGCGAGCGACGACAAATGTCTCTTCTCTTGCTTTTTCTTTAGACGAGGGTAAAGGACATTTCACAATTATTGTGTTTTCACACGAAATATTAACTATGCATGCTTAAGGGTTTAAATGTTATACATCTGCTTGTGAACAGCTCAAATGTACAAGCTAAAAAGGGATGTTTAAATAAAGTGAAGCGCACACAATTGCTCTGATGGGAACGGATAAGCTTAGTTTGAGACGAGTTGAAAAGGGATGAATAAAATCTTTCACAAGCAACTCTATTTTATCGATTGTCTCCGGAAAAGTACCCTGTATTACACAGACGAAGAAAGCGAAACCATCCATGTCGCATGACCATCGCTTTTTTCGTGTCTTTCACTTTCACACCCGAACTTCCTGGACGTTGTAAGATACTGCAAAATATTTTTTAGTTGTTGGATCACACCTGAGAACTGATCGAAACCAAACTAAGTGCTTAACACCTCTACCGCATTGAGACGCGCCTGAAAGTTCTTGAAAATATTTTTCGTCCCTATGGGAGAATTTAAAAGTCGCCTGATTTGCATGAAGCACACGTGTTGTAAGTTCTTTTTGTCGATAACCCTGAGTCATACACAATAAATTTGTATCAAGCCGAAATAAGTCCAGGTAAATAAAATTATCAACATGGGTAACGACCTCTTATATTTTTTGTGGAGGGATACTGAGGGTAGAGCGTTAATCCTGGTTTGATTAAGAGAGAAATACTTAAAAAAATGCTATACATTCAGACATCGTCTTCCAGTTGGTATGACGCGCGCCATCTGGTGGCTAGGGGCCGGAACAAGGAACCGCGAATTTAAACAAGAAACAGAAGTCGGAGAACACAAGCTACCGCTTACCTTTTAGACTCGTGAATAATGTCTCGTACAGGTCGTAGGTGTTTTCGAAGTATTCTTTGATCTCTCTGCAAAACATCAAAAACGGTAACCAATATTAACTTTTGCCGCGCGAGATGTAGCGACGATCAATGTGATTATCATTGCATTCGCAAACGAAAAGGAAGATTACCTCTTGGTACAAGACGAGAGATCGCATGGCTTTAAAGAGTGAAGAACGCGTCTACCACTTGGCTGAAACACAACCATCGCTACTGGCTAGAGAGTCAGAGTGAAATTTACTATGAAGTTCCTTTGAGCACGCTCGTAGTCACGTTTTGAAAATCTTCCGCCTCTCTGGTCGCGGGGGCCTGGGATGTCCTGTGGAATGGTGAACCCTTTGTTATTAGCTCAATCCAGTACGTATTCAAGTAGAAAAGATTTCGCAATAAAATTCCGTATATTTTGAAACTACAATCTCAAGAGCTATACAACATAAATTGAAATCAAAAATTACATTTCTGACTATGCGAAATTTATCGCCTAATTTAGCTTAAAGTCTCGTTTTCAGAAAAGCCTAAAAAAATTTACCGACTTTGCGATTAAGTATTAATTTTCTGTTGAAGAACATTCGTTCCAGTTATCTCAATTTGTATATAAAGGTCGTTATGTAATATCCGCTTCATGTCTCAGGCTTATAGCACATCAAAACACACTCGTAAGAAAGTCGAGCATTGTATGGAGGACATTGTATGGAGACGGTTATCAATGATACATAACCCTGGAAAGTGAGGCGAATACTAAAGTAACCACGCTTGACCATCATCCGTCAGCAGGTTACAATCGTGGCTTCCCTGCCGTGAGTGAAGTGGAAAGAGAACTACCTAGCTAAGTTGTTTTAATTTCCTTGCTCGAGCCTTCTGCCTTTTATGATATCTACCCCGGGATGAAGAAAATTGTACTCACTTTAAATGCAACAGAAAGGATAAATATATTTCTTTTTTGAGAGCTGATGTTTCCTGAGCTAAATAACCGTGCTGTCTGTTATGCAATCGATGGCATGAATCATGTCACAGATCGGCTGTTATCCCTCCAAGGAATAAGTTAGACAAGCAACATGGCATCGTAGACAAGTAAACAAGGGGCTTTCTTCTCAGTTAAAAGAGATTAAGACACATGGCTGACAGAACTCAATTGAACCTTGAAGAGCACCAGAACAGAGACACGGACCCTTAAATGTTATATCAGAGTAGACAGTCGCCTCGTTCTGTTTTGTTTTGTGTTTTTGTGGTAAATCTTATACGACTGAACTGTAGTGCTTCCTAAGCTAAATAAACGTATATTTTTCCAATTTAAGTCCCTTGAGGGTTTTAGCGGTTTGTTATGCAATCAACACTGAATCGTGACGGGAAAAATGTCTGTAAATGTTAAAAACGTGCATACTTTCAGTGTTTTTTTTTTTAATTGAAAACGCATCTCAAGCAAATTGTCGTGGTTTATGTGATGGTTGGACTGTACATAGTTCACTCTGACAAAGGGCTCACGCTCGAAACGTCAGCTTTGGGGACCATTCAGTTGTTAAAACCAAAATATCTTGTAATAACCCAACCGACAAAGCAATTTTTTTTTTTAAAAACTTACCCCTCCCCCCTTTATTTCAGAGATAGATTCGTGGAGCTGCAGAGGAAACGAATAGCACTCCTTTGAATAGTGACTTGGAAGTGTTGTGAGCCATTAGACCAGTATAATATGTGGGCCTACAATATAGCGACAAGATGCTATTTTAAAGGCTCTTATCGCGATAACGGATGACGATATTTCAGCTCATTTAGTAGCACAACATCGGTGCTTGATGAAGCAAAATGCAACATGGCGACATGACTTCACTTAAGAAGGTTTCCTACAGCTTCTAACTGCTTCACTTGCAGGTGACGCCATTTTTATGGGCTCGTGAACAGACGGACGAGTGCTGCACGACAAAACCCTCTATCGTAATGGCTAACAATAATAAAAACGAGATCTTAGCGAAAGCCTGATCCAGCCAGACGTATGGAATTGGTCTCTAACTAGATAATTCCAGGATAGGGGACCAATTAAATTTATGAGAGATTACGAAACAACTGTTGAACAATAAGATAAAAGTTCTCACAAACCAGCTGCAGCCACAGTTTCAGTTAGGATGACATCAAATCATAGAGAAGCTTCTTCGACCTTTACAACCCAGACACTGCACGGAAATATTCACAGTTTGTGACTTTCTAGAACTTTATAAAACGATTTCAATGACCTCCTCACCTATTTTGGAACAATGTCCATTGTTATCAACAGGAAAAAAAAAAAGAAAACAATGAGGAAGCGTTGGAGCGTGTTATGCACACTTCATGCGCTCTGAGTTTTCATTCAGAACATCTGGCAGAATAAAGCCCGCCGAACGTGCCTTATTTTTTTTTTCCGGGAATCGTCATGAGAAACAATAAGTAATAATTTTTTTTCTGGCGCCCAGATCTTCAATGATAAGATCAAAGAAACCTCAGCTTGACCTGTAAAGTCTAGACATCCATTCAGTTACTTTTTAATAAACTAAAATAAGAAACTGTTAGACTACAAGTTAGCACTTCTTTACGAAATCTCGTTTCAGTTTGTCTTCAAGCAGGCCAAGCACATGCATCTGAAATGACATTCCAGAAGTGGCGTGACTGTGGTAGAACGATGTGAATTATACTGGACCCATATGACGGTAACCACGTGGTAATTCGCTATTTCATCATCCCAGTAATATTACAGTTCAGTGATATCAATGGGTTTTTGTTCTTGTTGAATCATACAAAACTTATACGTGTTGACCTTGAGTTAATCATCAGATCGATAATGGGATGCAAACCGCCCGACAAACAAAGATGACTTGTCAATGACTTCCTTCCTTTCAGAGTAAAAAACTGACATTGAATAATCGTATTAAGTAGTCTGCTTTTTTTAAGGCATAACATATAGTATTTTCGTTATAAAAGAGGCTGGAAGAATTGCAATCATTCGCTTTTTGTTACTATCATGCACTAGCTGAGTTGACTTTGATTCTTAGGAGGCAAACAAAACGCACACACCGCACGACGTTAAGTCATCGAATAATGAACAGGCCTCACTGACCGAACATCAAAGAGCCTCAAACATTAACGAGCTTGACTGATGATGTTTAATCGGAAATAAGTATTGTTGCAAACAGCTCATGGCTAACATCGCTCACCTGAATATTCAATTTAACTTTTTTTAGCATCTTTGATGAGTGAATAGGAAAACAGAACCAAGAGAGAGCATGACAAGGAGGTTAAGAGTACGAAGCCATCATTAGCCATCCGCATAAGAGGACACCGGGAGAGGGGTTGGGATTTTTTTTCTTTCACGAACCCTCTCCTCGCAACCGTCCTCACGTCACGGATTCCCTCTGGTGTCGCAATTGATTTTTATTTTTTGTATTCTTCAAAGCAGTAATAGACAATTGCCATAACTAAAGATATTTTGCACCCTATTCTTTGCAATTTCATGAAAATTTTATTAATTGAATTCTATCATAGCCAGCGGTGCAGCTGTGCTAACGGTGACCGGGATGTTTGGTACGATTTTTAGCGAAACAGAAGACCGCCATTTTGGGTTCTCTTAGAAGAGGAACACTGGGGATAGAAAAAAAAATTAACTCCAGTGGGTAGTGGGAAGGATCGTAGGCGTGAGGGAGGCGGCAAACTTCGCAACTCGACAAACTTATGCATTTCGTTTTTACCAATAATATCGATAACTTGAGAAGTCCCTTCAATGGTAAGAGAATCCCACCTTGCGCAGATGATTTTGCAGGGCTAGAACGAAACCAAATCTAAAACATGTCAACCAAAGCGATAGACTAAAGTAATTATGTAATATTTAGTGACGTTTCTCTTTAGTTCGCAATTGAAAGCTGCGAATCGAATGAGCAAATCGTCGAACAATATTTAACACTGGTAAGAGTTAACATGTACAGTAAAACTACTACAGCTTGGAAAAAAGAAACCATGTGTTTTAGCCGCCGACTAATATTTCATGACTAAGTAATTGACCCTTGCAACTTCAAGATCCAATTTAAATTGTAACGTTTCAAAAGATGTAACCACAAAAATTACCCTTAAAGTAAAAGTTACCTTTCAAGTTTCTTGTATTCTTAACAGAAACGTAGGTCGCTATTTGGACAAGTCTGCTGTCTGCTGTCAGATTTGAAAACTTTCACTGCCTATATCGACCGCTGCTTCCAAATGCGGCTGTCAGCAATGACGAAGCGATATCAACTCATCTATTAATTACACTTGGAACAATGCATCAGCCCACTTTGTTTGGAATTCAATAAATGAAAGAAATGCTATATTGCTTCTGCATATCTCACAATAGAATTAGTCCCACACAATTCCGAAAAAGGAGGGAAAAAAGTATGCTTCGGAGTCGCAGCGCCCATGTTATGTTTTAATTACTTATAAAATGTCGCGAATCACTCTCAACTAAAACGAAAATATTTCGTAAAATATATGCATATTTTACAAAGATAGACTTTCCGAGAGTATTCTTGAGTTAGTGATTCATTAAGAGAAGTATTGTAATGAAACCTACACAGCGATTTATTGTCGGGAGGGAATGTTGCTGAATTCGGTCCTAGAATTAAGTTACGTTTTCTTCTCTTTTCAGAAAAATAATGATAATAATCATGAGTAACCTAGATAAGTGGTTTTCTTACAAACGTAAAATTTTTCCCGAGGTAATTCTAATAGCTGCTAGGGGCTAATGTAATTGAATAAAACCGCACAATGTTTACCTTATTTCGGTAATAGTTCACAAAATTGTAAAGATGTGTGAACGAAGGGGTTACGTCTGAGTGAAATACGATCAACCTTTGTATGGAGAGCGGGGTTTCTTTCAGCAACAAAGGGAATTCCAACCTGTATTAAAAAAAACAAGCGTCAAAATAAAGAGAAGTCTAACATCACAAGGCTGAGGGAAAATAACTAAAATGCAACGAGAATGGTCGAGAAAGGAAAACAAAGTTTGTCAAACTTGATTGATGTTTCAAGATGGACCACACAAAGGGTTCCTGTAAAAGTTAACACCACCCACAAGACATCTCTCCACCGTTCACTGCAAGCTGGCTCTAAAGTGTTTGGGTTTAGTCTGACGATCCCTTTTCCGAACACAGCCGCCGAGTTCATGCGGTCCCTTTTCCGGGCACTCTGCTCGCATGACGCAGCCCTTAATCAAGCGATATTTATATAGAGCAAACAGATATAAACCGCAAGTTATAACAAACGTCTTGGAAATATTTTTTGATTACTCTTTGTTGCACAATAAAAGATATGTACAGGGGCGAAGTTGATGGAAGAATGGCGGTTGGGGGGGGGGGAGGAGAGAGAGTCGAGAAATGCCAATGATCTCATAACCCTATCATATCTGAGATAACCACTTTTAATGTCAAATTGCTGAATGCGCTTGAATCTATGGGATCGAAGCAACCACTGTCCACGCTACCTCGAACTGATAGACATTTAGGCTGATAAGCGTTTACATTAGTATAGAGCAGTGTAACTGATGTCACATAAAGGCCCTTCTCATCTGTGCAGCTTTCGATTTATATGCATGATTGTTGATTCGCACCTCGCCTTTGTCAACCGTCATGCGAAAGAGATCTCGAGCTCAAAATACTTCGTAGGTGTTGACATTTATTTTTTCGATCGCGGTCTTTTTAATCGCGTGACCTTTGTTAGTAAAGTGTGTTCCCCCCCCCTTAAAAAAAATCTTAGCAACGCCTATCAAATGTAAATTTAATCGTTGTTGATATTCATGGTATTGTAAACACTCCAGGCGTTTATGGCGGATTGAATGAAGGATAAAAAGAGATAAAGGTCCACTGAATAACCAACACATTACCATCAAAGCAGTCAAAAGACATATGTCACGATCAAAGATAATTATCACGGATTAACGATGAAACGTGATAAAATTTATTTGACCGAAACTCAAACCAGGTGTCAAATGAAAAGAAAAAAAAATTCAGAAATGTTAAATCATTTTTTAGCAAAATATTTAAGTTTCTTGTAAACCGGACCTATCAGTAACGACTCTGTAGCAAAGTTTATCCACGTTCACAAGAATTACATGGTCATGATTACATGAGAACTGAGATAATGCAAGCTTCCTGATTGGTCAAAAACCTGTAGTTTATTGCACACCGGAAAGTCCATAGAAATTAAAGTTTGTTTTATATAACAAATTAAAAATACCACACTTTCCACCGGTTTACCGACGTCATAGCTCACTTGGAATGTTGAGAGAATACTGGAAAGTTGTAAGACTTTAACCGCTTATTTTCACTGGATGGCAGAAGTTTTTAGGCCTGCCCCGAGTGTGCTCGGCAACTTTTGAGCAACTTTTAGCGTTTTGAGCAACGTTTAGTTAGCCTATTTCATTCCTTATTTGATATTGCAACTAAAAATTGGCTAAAATGACATCAACTGAACCATGTGTTTTGTTCGTTTGACGTAAGAAGATCCTTAAATGTCGCCCATATTTGCAAGAAACTCTTTAAAGTTAATTTACAAGCTATTTTTTCGACCGTTGTTAGCAATTATTGTAAAGAACAAAAGATAAAGAAAAAAGATAAAGTTTATTAACGTTTACATAAAAATATCGAGATATTAAGGTAGCGACTTTTTAAATTTTTTTGCAAGTTTTTAGCAACTTTTTGACATTCAAGTGAGCAGCACTCCAGCATTTTACGAGCACAATCCGGACACACCCTAACTGTAACTTTTTTTGCTTCATTAAGTCAAGTTAGTTTATGAATGGGGACTGAAGGGTAATACTGAACGACCCACACTTAAGCCTTTCTCTTTCACATGTGTTTCTCTTATCTTATTTAGAATTATTACCTTAGCGCAAAAAAATTAGTCGAGCACTCCTCGTAGGACTGGGACGAGACACAGTTGACTATTCCACACCACCCCATTCGTGAATCGCTTTTTCACTGAGTCAAGACTTAGTTTAAGAAAGAGGATAGTCAACTCTTTAATATGGTAAAGCAAAATGTAAAGAACACATGAGAGAACAGAAAAAGATGAAAGACTGGGACGAGGGAGTAACTCAAGAAAATGTCCCGTATGTAATACTTTCAATGTCAGGGCAAATTAACGTTATAGGCTCGCGATCGTTTTCCGACCGGCCAGCTTTGATTTGGGGTCAGAGTGAACGGTAGGGCTTGGGGCTGTTGGAGGACGAGAAGCATTATTTTTGACCGTCGATCCGGTCCGCTTTGTACAAATTTCTTTCTCTCCCCAGCCTTCCGCTTCGATTAAAATCAAAGATGGCGGCTATAATTTTCGCTAAGAAAATACTGAGCACTTGTTAGCCAAAATTTCGCCTGCCAGATTCTCAAGTTACATGACACCATAAATAAAGAGTAAAGCAAATTCCAACAGATTAAGAAAAAGTAACTTACTAAGAAATGAAAGACAATTCCAACCACCTCCGTACTGCTAAAATTATGACGAGATTAAATTTAATGACTTGACTCATGGCCCCTGCCCTTCCCAATGATCAGCTTTCGCGTGCAAGGAGAACGCAAGGATAGAGCGAGGAGAGTGCAAGGAAAGGGTGAGAAGCAAGAAACGCACGAGAGGAGGTGTCCCTCTATTTCAGTTATACTGAACGAACGACTGTTTGAAATACAACGTACACGAACGATGGTACTTCGCAGTAGAGGGCAACAAATGGCTTCCAATCTTTGAAATGTGTCGGTTAATGAGAAAAAATCACAGTATGTATGAAATAAAAACATTATACTATGTCTCATTGCAATGCATCAAGAAACTCACTCGTTCGCTGCGCTCACTCGTTATTTTTTTTAATACATCGCAACTCGTGAATAAAAATAGTGTGTGCGTACTTTCCATAGAATAATCTCTATTTCCTACGCATGTCTAACTCTTTACATTCGTCTCGGCTTGCCAGAAAATCGCAGAACGAGGAAGCATTTCCCGTAGGCTACATTGGCTGCAATGTTTTAAAACCTTGTTGTTTTTCACCATTTTAACTTTATTAATCGAGAAAAACGTGTTAAATTTTTAGCTTTAGGGAGGTTTCATAAAACTAGTTAATTTTCGCTAGCGATAGATCAAATTACTTGTCCGCCTCATACACGTTATCATCGCTAGCCTTTGTTTAAATGTACGAGCATTGCAATCGAAAAAAAAACACACTGATTGAGAAAAATCCAGAAAAGTCATGTAATCGGAAGCTCATATTTTATTCATAATACTGCATTGATAGTATTTTTGATCTTAAAAGCTTCATTTCAGTGGTTTGGAAAATTCATTCTTTCAGTTGAAAATATTTAAGTCAATATGTTGGGTTAAATTAGTGAGACAATAGACAAACTTCATTTATTTTCACTTCAGAGCAAAAAAGAAAAACAAACACTACAAGACTTTAAATCAAGGTAAAAAATGAAGGAAATTATTGTACAAAGGGATGAGAGCCATCACTGGTCACAATATTTGTTCGTTTTCCTTACAGTCACGTCCTTTCAACATTTTTAATTAACTACAACACCTTTAACTGTTTTCTAAAATGTTAACGAAAATTTTAAGCTAAATAAGGTCAGCTTCTAATAAGACAGTATTTATTTTTCTTCCCATTTCCGCCGAAAAAAAGCCGTTTACCTATTGAAACTTTTAAACGTCATCTGCTTGTGTCGATATCTAATGCATTTCTAAATAAACTCTGCGTTGTTACAATAATGACGTGGGACAAATAAATGATCAATTTTATCGATAATTCAGCAAATGCAAATTTAATATAAAAAACACCTTTATGATATAAACTTTGGGATTCCCAATGCGTGCGCCAGAAGCAAAAACCTGCAACTGCGTTTTGATCTCCCAACTGGCGAAACGTGCCTTGACCTAAACAATATGATTTCGTGTCTGAAGAAAATCGTACTTCTCACACTGACTTTTATCCGAGCAGTAAGAGGTCCTGATATTTCTACACCATGCAGCGATAACTGTAAATGTTCAGTTTGTCCTTTCAGAGGACTTAAAAACCTGACTGAGGTGACTTGCAACGCAACACGCCTTCGAGAAATTGTTATTCCTTCACGAGTCAACATCTGCGCCTTGTAAGTAGATATCTTTCAGATGAATTTTGCGGTAGGACTGGCCGAGTACAAACCAGACTTTGTAACTGTCTGTCATTTAATTTACCATTCTCTTTGAGAGGACGCTTTTTATTGACTTAGTGAATTCACAGCGAATGGACCTGTCTGTAGTGTTAAAGTCAATCAACGACTTTAGCTGCAGGAAAGGTGGCCTTTACCCAGTCAACTAACGACTAGATACCCCTATCCGCGTGAAATATTATTATCCATTTTTAATCAGGGAACTAATTGATAAAAATTACAATCGAAACCATTTCTCCTTCCGCGAAAACGGCTTGGAACACTTTGTTGGGACCGGACATCGAGTCTGTTCCCAAAAGGGACAAGAAATCTCCTTGATATCAACTTATTTATGGACTTAAGGCAAATTTCATTTTTTCTTAAAACATCACATTTACAATTCAACAAATGTCGTTGGAAATTTTATTCATTTAGAATCCAGTTAAATGGCAGTTTATTCAACCTCATTTTTTTTTCCTGGAAATCTCAGAGAAATAAGATGATGAAGGTCGCTCTCAAACTCCTTTTTTTTTTCTTTTTTTTTTTTTCACACGTCGATGTAAGAAAGCGAACCCAATATAGCTAGTTGATTTATCTCTTCACAAGGCCTGTATTCTCTTCACGGTTTTCAGTTTTGTTCCTTGAATGAAAAATATCCTCGATAAACTCGACGGATATCTAAGCTCTAGGGATTGTCAGTTGGGGATCATCTTTGAAATCGTTTTGACAGTGTTAAATATGTTAATCCTCTTGATTACGAGCGGATTTTAAACCTTTGTTTCAGTTTTCTAATTTTTAATTTTTTCCCCTTTTATCATGTCTTCGTGTGAACGTAACATGCTTCAAGATAACAACAACAATATAACGTGCGAATAGCTTGTGAATGAGGATCAAATGTGTTTTACTTTTCAATCGCAGAAACAAGTAGTGTACAATATTCCAAGTCACTCAGCGTATCTCATTTTTAAGAAGACTGGGAACGGGTCGGTTAGAAATGCGTGTTGCCTTCGTTTACGTTTTTATGAGGAGAAGATAATAATAATAATAATAGTAATAATAATAATAATTATAATAATCCAATCGGGCTGATAGTATGATAGAAATACCCCAAAGCCCTTGCAAACGAGGCAAGTTCTACAAAACTGAAGAATCCACGACGGCTATTCAGAGCGCGGGAAAACATCAAAAGGGCCAGCCAGTCAGAACTCAAATGAAAAACACGCGAAATGTCCAAAGCGCGGGAAAACGCGAGTGGACAAGACGCGACTTGTTCAAGTTTTGAATTTGATTGGTTGAGAAGGTGGCACGATTTTTTTCTGGACCAATTGCACAGCGATGTGAAGCAAAACCGAAGAAGTTCTGAATTACTTGAGATACCCTGAAAAAAAAAATTGCTCGTCATGACAAATTACTGATGCGATAAGAAGCGCAATTTTTTATTTCATCGCCTATCACCTTCCTTTTTACTTTCTTCCATAGGGTGCTGTCAAGGAATGGAATTTCTTCTCTCGACAAAAAGTTTTTACGGCCGTTTGATGGAATTATTTCCTTGTAAGTAAAATTAAGTTAGATCGCCAATCTTGTAGTTTCCAAGAAAAAACAACAACAAATAGTATACAGTAAGTGTGTTGGCGCCCGAGTTGTGATGGTGCTCATTCAAGCCTCAGCGTATCTCTAATGAAGAGTTAAGATAGCTCAGTCTACTTAGTTTATCTAATCTAGAAAGTGTATCATCTTTTGCATGCAGTGTAGAAATCTGTATTAATTGTAGGCATTGTAAATCTTATGAGTCCGCAACAAATTTTGACCACTAAGATAACGAATATCTTTGTCGATAAGAGTACAGACCACGTTAAATTACTAATCTGGTGTTATCAACTAAGTTGAAGACGTAAATTGGCCACCGTAGAGTTTAAGTGCTGACGTTTAGAGCGTTTTTAGTCAATCGCTCTGACGAATGGCTAACACTCGAAACGTCAGCCTCTGGACTCTATAAGGTGGCTGATTTACGTTTTCAACTCAGTTGATAACACTAAATTACCCTGTTATACTCTCCCATCAACGCAGCACCACAGTTTCTTTAGAAACTTACCACCTTTACACGTTAAACTATCGTCGATTTTTTTAACATAATATCGACGTCAAGAACTGGAAACGATTCTTTCAGTGCGTGACCATTGTGTGGCACGTTGACGTGAGCAGCTTTGTCTGTATTCTTGTCAACAACGGCAAATTAGCCATTCAGGTTGTGAAATTACTTTAAATTGGGGTAAAAAGACTAAATCTAACTTAGTTCTCATTAGTTCTGTGTTCAGCGGTTATTTTCTCACAGTTCTGATTTGCTAGTGAGACTATTTAAGTTTTATTTCTAAGGATGCTCAATTGAAACGTGTCTGACCCTTAGCTTGGTTGTTGTTGCTGCCCGCATGTGAAGTCCTTTCTATCCTATTTTCAGGGATTTGTCATTTAATATGATAACCAAACTGTCAAAGAGAGCGTTTAGTAGTGTGTCTTCCTTGAAGATATTGTAAGTTGTCTTAAATTTGCTTGTGAAACTTATCTGGATTACTCATCCCTAGTGATATTTTCCTATTACGCATTTTAAAACGTGGAGCCTTTCACTTCCTGGCGTGGCCAAAGAAGGAGCTCTTCTTAATTAAAGATCATTACATTTTGAAGCAGAAAGGTCCATAGGGGAAGGAAAAATATCAACCAGCTGAAATGATTTCGTATGATGCAAATTTCTCAAAGCTAAAATTAATGTAAATGTAGGGGGGAATTGCGATCTTAATACTGTAGGGGTTCCCAGTTACAGCGGTGGAATCCCTCCTAACGCAACGAATGAACTCCGCAAATATCAGATTACTGTTTTGTTGCTGACGGAATCCTTGGGGGGCCGCGTTACAATTAGGAGCTCGTGTGCAAGTGATAACTTGCCAAAACCTCGAAATCCAGAATTTTCCGTCTCAAAATCAGATTATAGGAAGTAAAACAAGATGATTTGGTTTTTTCAACTGAGTTAATTTATAATGTAAATTGGCCACTGTAAATAGTTTCAAAGCTGGCGTTTCGAATGTTAGCCCTTCTTCAGAGAGCATGGAGGAATTGCACACACACACACCAAACCCACAATCAGATCTATCCGGGCTCAGATTCCAGTTTTAGAACTTTAGTTT